TTTATTAACAAAACAAACAAATATCCTTTTCTAGTTGAGAAAAATAGATCATCAGTCTCGAATGTTTCAATAGAAGGTAGATTGTCCTTATTGCTTTCAAACTAGATTTTTTGTTTTAAAAATTATTCAAGTGAGAAGAGAGTTGAAATCTATTTTTGAAAAAATCTACACGCCTACACAAAGGAAATAAACCATATTTGTTCCTGATATTATCATACTTTTTAAGGAAGATCAGTTATTCATCATGCATATTGGTTACAAAATCATTGATAAATGATGACGGAGACTTTCATTTTAATATAAACAAACAATTTAAATGTAGAAGGCGATTCCTGTGAAAACAAGTAAATTAAAAAGAAATATTTCATCTTTGTATATTTGGCAAATTCATTTGCTTTGATTATTGAATATTACATAGTAGTAACGCATGGCATTATTGGTAGTGTTCAAAATAGCAAGATATAATATTTTTTATGGTCAAGACTGTTTGATTAAATTTCATCGGTTTGGTCATAGATTTTTTACTTCAAAAAAACAGCATTTTTGAAAAGATAGTTAATGTTGTGATATAATACAAAATCACATATTTGCAATTGTTTAGACAATTGTATAGCACTTTAGTGCTGAGTACTTTGTTAAGCAGCATTCAAATTTAACTTCTACATCTAAGTGAAGGTGTGTCTCTGACCTAAAATATGTATTATCTATAATATGAAGTTTACTCAAAATGTCCAGTTGTTGTGCCATAAAAAAACTTTCAAACAATTCAAAAGAAAAACCAAACGACTATCATACAAATACAAGGCCTATCGAAACAAGCAAGATTATCATGTCGACCAATAAACAAGAATCTACACAACCATTCAATCAATTCTAATTAAAGACCCCTCTTAACACGCGATAATTATAAACTCGGAGCGGCAAAACCGTAGAACTAGCTAGTTTAAACAACATCTAACAGCTCTTTCTCTTCCAGCCTAATGTCAGAATAAAGTTCTACTTAGTTTATAAGTTAAGTTTAAACTATATAAAATCGTCCCTAGAAATTAACGAAATGTAATACTATTCAATACTGTAGAACTATTCACACCTGATATATTTGATGCTAAAGTTGACAATCGCAATGACCCTTCTTCTGTTATCTTATTGGTTACTAATTAAATAGCAACTAACCTATTTTTTTTTGAGAGAAAGCCCATTCTTGCGTTGCCCAAGTATACATAAGAAAAAGTTACTATTTTGAAATGAATTACACTACGCGAAAGCCCGTGATAAATTATGTTCACATTGATATTTCCAACTCTTTCTGATAATTCTACCAAGAGAGATGAACGAATCTTTCAAACAATTCAAGTTAAGATATAAGTTACTATGAAAACAAAAGAGAGATACTTGACAATAGTTATTCAAAACGGAATTTAGATAGAAATGTATCTTTTGCATCCATAAATCTAACGAAAACTCTTTCAAGACGGTTGAGAAAATTAAAATCATGATTTGAATCAATATTATGTGATAATTCATGACAGATAACCATAAAATAAAAATTAACTACTCGACGAACAATCAGAATTGATCATAATGATGATGTACATGTTTCAACATATACTAGCAGATCATCAGCAAATACTTGTCCAAAATAATGAAGCATTACAGTTGAAAGCAATACGTGCTGAAAATTACAAAAAAATATATATTGAATAATTTCAATTGAAGATTTTATTATTTTCAAGAAGAATATTTGAATAACGAATCACACTTGATGCTAAGATAAATTCACATGCATTATTATTTTCATGTCTTGATTGTTGTGATAGATTAAATCTTCTTTGAGAATAATGTCGATTTGTTCCAATCATTCGACGAATATCTCCATTATCAGATGATTTATATGCACCAAAATTATTAACACGATCTCTTTCCATTGTACTAGAGATACTCTCAACTGTACCATTTGATGAAAGAGCTAGTAGAGAAATAAACAAACCAAACAAAAGAATTTATGTTAAAAATATGAATACTAATCAATTAATTACTCTCTTAGACTTTGAAAAATTCCACATTGAGTTTGTTCCTGTTCTTCATAATGTTCTTCTTTATGCTTTACATTTTCTCTCAACTGTTGATGATATGGTTGAAGTTATTGTTGTGGGTGAGGTTGCGGCGGTTGACATGGTTGTCTTGACGGTTGTTTTTGTACATTCTCTTCTAATTTAATTTCTTGACGTTCTAATGCCATTTTTAATTGCTATGAAAAATATTTCATTTAAACTATTAAGAAATGGAATTTTTATCAGTAAACTTACTTTGTTATTGCTATAGTTGTTGTTTGATGTTCAGTAATCGATCAATAGAAATTGTACGTGGTGTGAGTGTTTCTAATGGTGAAGCAAGTTTATCACTGATGGAATAAACTACTGAATGAAGTGGTTGTTTTATAAACAAGTCTTGTTAATTCTGATGAAATATCAATATAATCAAGAGTTGAAGTATCTTTTTGAATATTTAAAAATAGTTTGATATTTTTTCCTGTTCAAGTGTACATGAACTATATACTCGGTTGACTAAAATTAAAACCAAAGAAAAGATTAATTTCAATTGAAAATGAAAATTCTACATGAAATGTAATTATTTTCTTGTGAAATGTTAATTAACAACGTTTTTCATCAATATTGTCAATTCGTTGTCTCTAAAATAACAGTTCTTCAAATGAAAATCATTTTAAATAGAAGAAAACTTATTCTATTATGAACAAGTAACATATTGAAAAGATGATCAATGAGATCATGTAATGTTTTGCTTCTGTCTCTGGTCAGAACTCTTCCTAGTAAAAAACGAAGAACGGGCATATGAACGGATAGATCGATAAATGTATTCACCTAAATATACTAAAGTTCTTTGAACAGACTCCAATAACCATTTTGATCCAAATATTTCATATAATATACTTAAAGCAGGTTCATCGGGTGCACATAATGATTGGAGATGAGTAGCAGATTGATGATTATCATCCAAATGAATTTCGTTTGGTTTAACTATTTTAAAAATTGATTCAACATTTAATTGTCATGCCAAATTTGATAAAGCCACTAATTATTTTGAATAATTTGAATAGATACGTAATTTAGCTTTAATAAAATCTGCATTATCATTTTTTCTCTTTGCAAAATAACGTGATTGTCGGTGAATTAAAAAATGAACAAAAGAAAAAAAAACTTGAGTTTGCTCGTTTGATGGTTGTGTCTTTTCTTCTTTTAAACTTCCCTCATTTCCTTCCTAATTTTTTGCATCAAATGATAAATAATCATCCACAATCATTTCATCATTATCATTAATAGAAAATTCATTTTTAGTGTCATTTATCCACGTTCTATTTGATTCTATTGTATTTGTTTTTTTGTTATTTAGATACATCCACAATTCGTTGATTACGGTCACAGAGACACATGTTTTTCTAATACGCTTCCAACAAAAAATGACATCACACAATACCAACGATGAAATGTTTCATGAGCATCACACCCACGAGTTTTCACATAACGTGTTAATATTAACCAATGAACACATGTATATGCACATGATTCACATTAATATGATTTTTCACCTAAGAAATAAATCGATGTGTAGAATTTTTATCTGTATGACTTCGATGATGAACTGTTAAATTTTAACAACTTTTAAAAACTTTTCCACAAAACTCACATAAATAGAAGTGGAAGTTAACACTTTTTCAGCAATGACGTTTTATACTGAATTAGAGCAGCCATAAGAGTTGTTCTACTAGACATATAGTAAGGAGAATCAGATCCAAGAAAGCATATTTTTGAAGCTCGAAAGACGTAATGGTGGAAAAAGTTTTTCTAGAGCAAACATTTTAGAAGAGAGCTCGACCGAATCATCCGATCCTCCTATTTATCCATAAGTCAAGTTTCAGCCTTTTGCAATGAAAATAAAGGTGAGAAAAACTGAAATATAACGCGTTTGAGGATGATTCTCTTGTTTAGATGATTAGAGCACCAAACACGATTCACTTTTCTATGAATGAATCTTTAGAATACATTTAATATATTTGAACGAAAATAAATTTGGAAAAAACCACACACAAGACTCTGCAGTTAATAAATGAATAGCACAACGAGTCAGTCAAAACAGGAACAGGATACAGAAAAACGATAAAAGCTAAACGTAAAAAGGATACGGGCAAATAAAAATCAAGCTTTTTGAAAAATACGTAAGATTGAGTGTCATACAATTAACCAAGAAATTTTATTTCCATCCGATTTTTTTCTTTAAACTATCAAATACATTTGTCGTCGTTTTCACTGGATCGAAACCTAGTTAAAAAAAGAAGAGAAAATAAAGAGGCAGAAAAAAAGGTCGTTTAACTCCACATAATGTAAAACAAAGCCGTTTACGAGACAGGATAGTGCAAGTAAATTTAAACTGTTCTAAACAGATTTGAAGACTCGTTTGCGAATATTTTCATTAAAAATTTGCAGATTAACTGGAAGTGTTTCTAAGAGTCAAACTTTGTAGATGCTGTATTAGGTGATGCAATAAGAAAACCAGTTTCATGCAAATTGAGCGCAGGTTTCTACTGAATAAAAAGTATATCTTTAACGCCTGCAGAGCAAGACAGAACGCTAACTTATGCCTGACATAGGGAAGGGCAAAAAAAAAGAGTGTTATAAACAGCTTTGTTATGAAAGCAGTATGCACTCCCTCATTCTCCTGAACCACCTACCTTGATTTTCTATATTTGATGCTTGATGCACTTCTCTTGTTTGGTTTTCATTCAATGTTGTCGTCGTCGTTGTCGTCGTTTTACCATGAGCTAAAGTGGAGAGCTCATCTTTCTTCTTGATATTATACTATGAAAACAGACAGAGAACGAAAGTTTCTTTAGAAGAGACATGCCATGCCGGAAACTTCTACATTACTCACTTTATCACGAATTTTCTGTCTTGCTTCTTCACGGTCTTGTTCCGTCTTAGCTTGTCTTGCTTTTCGTTCTTTTTCCATAGCTTCTTGTCTCTTTTGCTCAGCCTAGTAGTGTAGAAAAATAAGATTTGAAACATTCGAAAGTACAGCTCTTGTTAAAAGAAACTCTGTTACACTTACAAGCAGATCTTCGCCAGAAATGCCAGTATCTTCCTTCTCTTCATCGACACTTTCATCGGCAGTTAGGTCTAAGAAACGACAGAAATATAGTGATAACTAGAGATTAATGAATACCTTTCATACCTTTTATCACTTTATCAAATTTATTTCCTATCATTGTTTTCATAAAATATGAAGACATTGTTTTGACTTGTGTTACTTAGACACACAATTCTTAATCGAAAAATTTTACTTCACGTTTCTTTTTTCACCAAAAAACCAAAATAAAGGAATGAAATATGATGATATGCACAAGTTTTTTTTTCGTTCTATCATCATATATACTCATTCAGGCGTATCTGTTTTTTTCTTTTGTTTCTTTCATCTCGTGACACTTAAGTTTGAGACGAACGAAAGAAAAAAGGTAAAAATGGACGTTCTTCTATCATTTGTTGCAAGCATTAGATTTCTATTTCGTTTTTTCATTTTTCACGAATAATGATACATTGCAGATTTTACCTGAAAATTCTACGAATCAATTGAAAGTCGCCAAATCCTCATTTTTTTGTAATTTTTTTCTACTTTTCCTTTTGTAAAATTATGAAGTTACCACTAAGGTGAACTCATTTAACATTAATAAGATAAAACTATTATACCAATTGAAATGTAACAATTACATTTTAATAAATAGGGTCCAATTCGATTAACAGTCAGTTTAATAAGTAATAACCATTTACGTTGGTTTGAGTCAATTTTAATTTATTATTTAATTTTAGATTTCAAGATAAATTCATGTCAAAAGGAACATCCATGATGTATATAGGACATTTCCGTACGCCTGAAATAGCTGTAGTATTCAAAAGAAATCAATTCAATCCTTTCGATTTGTAATCAATAATTTTGACTTCAGACTTGAAGAATGACTAACAAGATAATAATCGATTGTGGCTAAAGATTCGATTCAGATCCAAATACTTAATTATAACTGATTGCCAATCTGTCGACTCGATTGAAGAGGATTATACTACTCATAATCAAAAATAATAATTATTTTTACTGAAGAATTTTTCATCGTGCAATAGCTCATTTATTATTTACACTTTTACTCACAAGGAATGTACACGAATTTGTAAATCATGTTTGAAAAAAAAATCATCGAATTTTATGCAATCAACTATGCAGATTTCGAATATCAATCGGAAATAGGCTATTGCAAGCTTCAGCGACTGGTTTTCTAAAACCTAGCAATATTTTAGCAAAAAGTTATTTATTTGGTGACAAACAGAATGCATGCAATCTGATGAAAGAAGATAAACGATAACATCTATCTTACATTAAACCGAATGCAAAACTTATAATCCAAATGAGCATTATATTCTAAGTGTAATAGGCGATTCAGTTTTTCAAAACATCGACCAAACCATAATAATGTTCATAGTCTTTCTATCCATTCTTCAAGATTATTTAATACATTCTTTAAAAAATATTTTTAATAATTTTTGTGTCAAGATTGCCCATGTTAACATTAAATGTTTAT